GGGGAAAGAAGCCTCCTACAGGACGAGCTGTGACGGCCGCACGGCGCCCTTGTTGCCATAGCGTCCTGTGCGGGCTCACGGCTCGCACAACCCAAAGGCCGGCCCTGCTTGGAGCGGTGACTACTTTACAACACACACAGAGACCATGGGGAACAAAATTAGCCCCCTTCCAGAAGGACGGACAGTGTCAGCACCAATTCAGAGATGATTTGAGGATCTACAGCCGAGTGATACACAAATAAGATATTTTTGTTTATAGTCAGGGTACTTAAATGCATTTTTAAGATTTAACTCCTGAGTTTAGTGTCACTTTAATTTGTACAATGCCAGGTTGCCAGAGGCACTATTTGAATTGGCTGCCAGGCTTGCACATATCAGAGCATGTATGTCAGGGTGAGCTGGCATGATATAATGAATAATGGATCTGTGTGTACTGAATCTTCCTCATCTGCACTGATTGCGTATCTCTATGGCCATTTCTTACTTTCCCACTTTCTCCCTTCACAGGCGCTGCCCTATGTCTGCCTTCTGATTGCTATGCTGTTCTTTATTTATGCCATTATTGGCATGCAGGTATGTTCTACCATCTCTGCATGTTTCCTTTTTTCCAGTATATATGTCTGTTCCTAACAGAGGTGTAGTTTACCCATGGCAATAAAGTGGCTCACTTGTTACCACTCCTTCCTTCCACCGCTGGGGTAGTGGTTTCTGTCCTTCCCATGTTTGTCTGATAAATTTTTTTTTAACCTAAGTAAATGTGGGTTCACAGAAGTACAATGGTAGACTTGGACCAAATGTAAATATGTAAAAATGTTTGAGTGTCATAGGGACATAACATTGTGGGTAAGTGATCATGCATAAACACTGTAAGAACATTGCATGATATGCACACACAAGAAGAAAAATCATAGATTAAATCCTGTCTTGAGCTTATCCTTCAGGTATTCTGTATTTTACATATATTTTATTAAATTATAATAAATAATAACATTAAAAAAATAACATAAAAATATTTATTTTCAATTGGTTAAATATGAAATATTGCATATGAATATTTCATATTTACCATTTGCAGCCAACAGGTGGCCCACACGCTACAACTAAATAAGTCATTGGAACTTTTCACCCTCCCCCCCACACCTGCTTAGTAGCAAAAAGGTAATGGTAAGTATCTCAAAACTTCCCATTTACCAGGATTAGGCTCCCTCAGTGTACTGTCAGTTGATGAGCCCAGTACTATTGAGCAACAAGGTAGAAAGTGGACATTTTCTAGTAGGTATAAATAGAGAATTACAGTCTGCTATAAAACAAGCAGTACTAGACTTTATTAGAAAGCCCAGAATGCTTTTAAATAGAATACCATAGATGTCATTATGCTGTAAAAATATATGAAACATCAGTTTATAAAATGTTACACTTTCATAAACAAATCTTAACACAATGATTTTATTAATTTTCAAACAAAGATGAAGAGTAAATTCCCCCACGCAGGCGTATAAAAGGAACAGACATGACTCGAAGCTCAATAATCAATATTTAAAGGAGTTACAAAGGATCGGGACACTAAGCCATATCCCGAACAGAAGGACATTTCAGCATTCTAGGTTGTGGATGGCAAGTGGTCCCTCGAAGTCCTCGCACTGGGTCACGAATACGTAATCCAGGGAAAGGAACAGAAGGAAAGCAGAGAGAAGAGACAGAGAAGAGGGAGAAATAAAAATGGCCAAGGACCATGCCCTAGGAAAAAAAAGAGCCAAAAGAGTGAAAAAAGCAAAGTTAAAGGGGGGAGAGAAGAAACAGAAAAAAGGGAAGAAGGAAGAAAATAATAGAGTAGAATAGAATAGGGTCTCCCCACCCCCATCTCCATACCGCAAAACACAGAGGTGAGGCGTATAAAAAAAAGCTCAAACTGGATACGTTCAGGATTGGAAGGGCATAGGAAGGCCAGGGATCCCAGATTTTAGGGAATTTGGTATGAGACTGACGGAGCACAATCGTCATTTTCCCATTAATCAACATCATATTCTTACGAGGTTGCACTTCATGGAAAGGGAGCCTGGGACTCTTCCACACCTTTGCAATAGTCTGTTTTGTGCTTCATAAACAAATGTTAAAATAAACGTGACCATAAACCGCTACAGTTTGCCTTTAACTCCAAAGTCAGGTCTGAGAATTTTGATTTAACGCCACAAATTGGGAAACCCACCAGTGACAGAAGAAAATGGCAAACAATAAGAATTGGACATGTACTGTATTTATTCCTAAAAACATACGGCTTGATGAAGCTACAGGTTCAAGTATATATTTGCCGGTATGACATCATCTTTCCATATCCACCAAGACATCTTTGTATTTCCTTGTTATATGGCAGGTGTTTGGCAACATTGCTCTAGATGAAGAAGATGACGACACTGCCATAACGGAACACAACAACTTCCGGACATTTTTCCAAGCTCTCATGCTACTTTTCCGGTGAGCCTCTACATTATAAGCTGAGACTTAAAGTCAGAGTTTACCAGTTCCACGTATTTCCTCTGCATTCTTTATCTTCTTATACAGAATTATGTAGTTTTATATACATTGCTGCCAAAATTGTATTTTATTTGGGTTCCAGCTATTAAATAAATAATGTGTGAAAATAGTAATTCCAGTATTGCTAATACAGATTTCCCTGAGTTTCAATCCCGGATGTTTTCTACTGCTCATTGTAAAATATTTTCATATAATAAATCAGGTAAAATTCTTCTTCCGGTTCAATGGAAAGGAAAGCTGCACCTCTAAAACAGCGAAGGGTGCCAGCGCATTTCCTGTAACGATGACTGATCAACGCTGTGCTTTATACTTGCACAGGGTGAATGGTCCTGTACCCACCTTTGAAGTCTTGTAAAGTGCTGATGTGGTTAAATCAGTGCTGGCTGCACTCTCATCAGAACCATTACCGGTGTTTCACTCGAGTTTTCCCCAGCCTCGTTCTTATTGTATCATTTCGATGGCGGAAATGCACTCTTTTCCTACCCTCTCTTCTCATTGAGAAGATAAGAGACCAGTATGAGAGAGTGAGAGCGATAAGACCAAATTTAACACACCTGCTCCCCATTCACACCTGAGACCTTGTAACACTAACAAGTCACATGACACCAGGGAGGGAAAATGGCTAATTGGGCCCAATTTGGACATTTTCACTTAGGGGTGTACTCACTTTTGTTGCCAGCGTTCTAGACATTAATGGCTGTGTGTTGAGTTATTTTGAGGGGACAGCAAATGTACACTGATATACAAGCTGCACACTCTTATAGTGTCATTTCTTCTGTGTCATCACATGAAATGATATCATAAAATATTTACAAAAATGTGAGGGGTGTACTCACTTCTGTGAGATGCTGTACACATGGGCATGTTTGTATAACGCCATTATGTATCTTTCATCCCACAGGAGCGCCACAGGAGAAGCGTGGCATGAAATCATGTTGTCTTGTCTTAGTGGGAAGCCCTGTGATGTCCAGTCAGGCATTAAGGAGAAGGACTGTGGCAGTGAATTTGCTTATTTCTACTTTGTGTCATTCATCTTCCTCTGCTCATTCCTGGTGAGTGAAGCAATCATATTCATTTGTCTAACAGTAACCTGAAATCTGATTGGTTGTTATGGGTTACTGCACTCTTAATATTATCATTGTTCCATGCTTTGGCTTATTAAATAGTCCATATGTAATTTTATTATCAAACATGGGTGATAATCCTGGATAACATGTAATTATTAAAATATACAATGTTTTAAAATGTGACTGCCACCAAAGCTCACCAAGATTCAAGTATGAATACACGATTCTTGTATTTAGACTTATCCCGGGGATTCAGCTTTAAAGTCCATTTCCACTGCTGTCAGTGATTAGCATTTATTGTGGTAATGTAGGGGTGCAGTGATGATGTATATGGATGCACATTTTCATGATTCACATTGCAGGCTTTCTTAATTTTTTTCAACTTTTTATTAGGCCTGAAGCCTACAAATTAAAAATGTTATCCACAGGAATCTCAGTCTGAAACTGGGGTCGGATTCTAAAGCAGGCTGTAAACAGCTGCCTCCCTCCCCGTGATTCTGTGTGATCACTAAACACCAGCTCTGTCTTTGCACACAATACACTGCCGGGAAGGGGAGGTTTGCCACTATGAATACTAATTAATTGTTGGTGGAGCTCATTTGTACTATTCACAGATTGCTTGCAGAGCACAGAGGCAGCTATTTTCATGAAGAAATGAAGAGGAAAGCTAACAAAAAAAATATGTTTTTGTGTTCATATACAGCAACTGCATGTGCCTGCTTCATGTACACTCGGTGAACATTGCTGATATATGTTTTTTTTTTAAATACCTCTGGAAAGGTGAAAAAAGACTTTAAGCTCTAGCTTGATACCTCTCTTCCCATCTTTTTGGCTTCCTTATTGATCCATCAAGCTGATCTTTACATTCAAGGTCCAAATTTCACCCTTTTGTGAATAAGCCTCTTTGTTTTTTGAGATCCGGATAACATTTCAGCTGCCAATATGTCTGGACCTACTGATCATTTTGATGTGTGGAACATTATGTCCGCTGCTGGAATTGCTTAGTTTATTTTTTTTACAGCAGTACAAAAGTAAGACTGTGCTGTTGTAAGTTTTGCACGTTGATGCCATAGGTTGTCATTCCTGTCTCTCTTTTCAGATGTTAAACCTGTTTGTTGCTGTCATTATGGATAACTTTGAGTATCTCACACGTGATTCATCAATTTTGGGTCCTCATCATCTGGACGAATATGTGCGAGTGTGGGCAGAGTATGACCCAGCTGCCTGGTGAGTCAATTTGTTTAATTTCTCTAATATGAAACCAACAAGGGGGGGGGGGGGGGGGGTTACATGTGGCTTTGTATAACAAGATGCTAACTAACAAATGTAGTAGGTAAGGCCAACATTAGCAATTGATTTACATGTTGCGATGGCCTCATATTACCACTGCTGTAAACTTGCTCTGGTTCACCTATCAGAATCTTACTGGGTTTCTATAGAATTAAAAGGCCCAGTCACCAAATGGACATGAAAGTGGAACTCAAAACAGTTTGAAAAAACTACAACTCATTTTTCCATCTGAAGAATCATCTGTCACCATGCAGAGAAAAGGATTAGGACGTAGTAACTAGAGAAAAGAAAACTACCAGTGGCTTATAAGACAGAAGCACAAAAGCGATACTGAGAACTGCCGATGCACACTGGTGAGGAAGAAGAAGATTGACATCTACATGCAGGAAAAGAATGTCCAGTGTATATCTGAGAAATTGGAAAAATTGGCACAGTGAAAGATATATATTAAAAGCCTAAGACTGAAACCTAATAGTGAAAGCAGTAGTAGAAATCTTGTTACATTTCTAATCAGGGTTTAGAGTTCAGTCCTCAGTGGTCAAGTGGCTGTTGCATCAGCTACTCCTGCTGCAATTCCTGCAGCAAAGTTTTATCACTTACCTGGGTATATCAGTTTCTGAACCATTCCTGATATAACCAAGGCAAATGCTCAGGTCTGTCCTCAGGCCCGTCCTCAGGCCCTTCTGTAATCCCAAAGACAACTGGACTCATGTGAAAGGCAGAATAATCTTTAATAGACTTTACCAACACATGCTGGAGCCATTTCTGGATGATATGCACCCAAGCTGAAACTCCAGTTAAAGAAGATATAGCAGATATGCTTTACTGAAGCCCATGGCTAAAATCCCAAGCCTCTGAATAATATCTACGAGCTGCTTTTTTTTTTTTTTTTTCAGGGGGACATTTTTGGCCCATCAGGCAACCACAACATTGTAAAGCATTATTATGCTTGAGGTTCAGCTTTTTGAGGTTCAGCTTTTTTTTTCTTGAATAAATATTTGTTTTTTAAAGAATATTCTTTTTTTTATACATTTTTTATTTAAGTTTTCATAAAACGAACATACAGAAGGGAATTTATCAAAACTGTAGCAGACAAAATCTGGAGCAGCTGTGCATGACAACCAATCAGCTTCTCTCTTTCATTTTCAAATCTTAACTGAACAAACTAAAGAGAGATGCTAATTGGTTGCCGTGCACAGCTACTCCCGATTTTGATAAATTCCCCCCACAGTGTATAAGAAAGCAACATAAAAAAATATTAGAACAAAACAATTACAATCAGACTTCCCTAGGTACAGAAGCAAATACTTAGGAAAGGTATAGTCAAGACTAAATTCTAAGATATAAGATACAAGATGGGGCATAAATCCTGTCAAGTCTTTCAGCCGTTCTTTCAGAAATGTGCTCAAAAACCATCATCATGGCATAATTAAGGTAAGAACCATAGTGTAGATGAAGAGGTAGCCTTGGGGTGGGTATCTGAGGCCTCCAGCATATTCCAATAAATAATATTCTTCATGGATGAAGAGCGCCTCAATACCAAGACAAAAGGTTCACTATTGCATCCTATCCTACAAACCAACACGTTTTGCAGCGGATTGAAGAAAAATTGAGGTGACATTTTAACAAATCAGATTTTTCTTCCCTTTTTTTAATAATGATCAAGGTTATTGATTTTAGAAAAAAGTACCGCAACATGGTTAGTTGATATTTTCAGCATCTGAAAAAAGGCTTTGCTCAAAGGAAGAGCTTCAGGGAAGCATGGACGTATGCCACTATCGAGCAACAAGACTCAGGTCCAGTTCACCAAATTCCTGCTTCATCTTTCCTACAGATATCCAGGCATTATATGCTTTTGTTATCTTAGGTTTTCTGTTTTTCTAAGTAATTATGTTTTTATCCCATTTTCTATGTTTTTATGTATTTATTTTTTATGTGTACAAATTTTAGTCCATCAATGTATATATATTTTTTAATCAATATACCTTTCCATTCAGTCATTTCTCCACATGTATTATTTTCTTGCCGAGGTTTCTAGTGATTAAACAAATTATTTTTCACACTGCATCAGTATGTCTGGAAGTTATGGTTAAACTCTCAAACTAAATAATGAAGGAGCAATTAAGAAAATGTAACTAGCCTGATTCTTGTTTAGCTAGATAATATAAAAACTGGAAATACAAAGCATTGTACATATGGCAAAATCTGGGGCTTGCAGCGTGTTCCTCAGACCAGCATTTCTCATATTTTTGTCAGCCACGGCACCATTTAAAAGTAAACAAAATGTTGAAGTGCCGCCGCCGTGAAGTAAAAACCGTAAATGTAAAAAAGGACGTGGGGTTTCTCCAGAATCCATACCAGACCCTTATCCCAGATAGGTATGTGGTATGAATTTTAACGATGATCCCCAGGCAAGAACACAATATGAGTGCCACCTTTCCCATAGGAGTCCCCCTTTACATCAGGAGCTCCCTCCTTTCACATTAGAGTCTTCTCTCTCACACTAGGAGACTCTCTTCATATCAGAAGCCCACTTCACATCAGAATTCCCCTCTTTCACATGAGAGGCACAATGCTGTGTAAACATTTTGAGGTACCCCTGAGGAAGCCAGAAGACACCCAAGGTTCAGAACGGCTGCCTTAGACCTTCTCAGGAAAACAATATTGTGGCCACTTGACCCAGTGTACAGAGAGAGCCATTCTCTAATCTTACCTTTGAGTTGTATTTAAAAGCAGTGACGGAGCAGTGCCATCCTGCATTGACTTCACCATTTCTGGCATTACAAGCTGTAAAAAGGGCTCGTTGACATCCATTACTCAAGTATATGATGTCTAAAAGTCTTTCATTAAAGAGAGAATTGCGCTTCAGATGTCACTAAGTGCTGTCATGCTTGCATTGTGAGAGGTAGACGCAATCTAGTCCTATCTTCAGTTATCACCGTGTATTATACTGCTCCAGATATCATATAATGGATATTAGGGATCCACTGATATATCGTCCGCCGAAACATATCGGCTAAAAATGGCACTTTTGGCATAATGACGAAAGTGCCATTTTCTAGCCGATACAGCAGTGCGTCCGTTCTTTCTCTCCTCCTCGCTGGGCGCTGCTCTGTGTCCAAACGGGGAGGAGAGAAACTGTCACAGGAGGCCGAGCGCTGCGGTAGGAGACCGCTGTGAGCGGCCGGCGTCTCTCCTCCCTGCACCGCTCAGTCTCCTGTCACAGATCGGGAGAGCAGTGTTGGTGGAGACAGCCAGCGCTGTCACAGGAGGCTGAGCTCTCCTCCCGCCCCGCCTCCTGTGACAGCATGTCAGGATGGAGAGCGGGTACAAGCAGTCAGAGATCAGTGATCGCTGAGTGTTTGTAGATAATTGAGGACAGAGTATGTTTACTCTGTCCTCAATTATGATTGAATGGGAAGTGATCTACATCACTTCCTGTTCATTCATGATTCTGGTTATAGTAAACATACTCCACAAGTTATGAATGAACAGGAACACTCAGTATAGAGGATTCCTGTTAATTTATAACAGAAAAAGAGATGGAGGACTAGGTGTTCTCAATCTCTTTTTCTATTTTAAAAGGGAAATATCAGGGAACTGTTTAGACCCCCAATATTTCCCCGAAGCCCCTAAAAGTAAAGTAAAAAATAAAAATATTTAATAAAATGAATAAATATCAGATATAAAAAATTGAAAAATTTATAAAAAATAAATACAAATAAAATATATATTTTTTTTAATGGAAAAAGTTAGAATAAAAAACATTTTCGGTTTTGGCCTGACATTTTTTTCATTTCGGTTTTGTTTCTGAAATTTTAATTTCGGTGCAGTTAGAGTTCGGTGCGGTAAAGTTTTTTCCTTTATTTTCAGCTGATGATCCAGCCAGTAAGTCTGTTTTTTTAAGCTTCATTTAACAGACCAAGCTGTCCATCAGCTTGTCTATTAGAAAAAAGACTTCCTGTCCTGATGACACCTGTCAATAGGATAGGAAATTATGGGAAATCTTTGCATCTAATGAGAAGAATTATCACGGCCTTAAGGCAATGATTCTAAAGCAGGGCATGCACAGATGGAATTTTGTTTCCTGCTGAATCAGCCAAAACTTTGATCCCCTCTGGCACCACCCGGCTCACCAAGAGTTATGCTGTTTTTAGAAAAGAGAAGTTTGAGACTTGAGCCATAACTGAGTGATAATGTGAGTGTGTGTTGTATAATTCTTCCATATTTACTAAGTCACACAGGACAAAACACCTCAAGAGTGTATGAGTGCAGGGAGGGTCATTCATGAAAGCTTCATCCCCTCTCAACTAACTTCCCTTCTGTTCTTATTTCAGCGGGCGCATTCATTATAAGGACATGTACAGTTTGTTACGGGTTATATCCCCACCGCTGGGGTTGGGGAAGAAATGCCCCCACAGGGTGGCCTGCAAGGTTTGGAAAACCATTACAAAAGCAAAACAAAACAAACCAAATTAAAAACACCGAACGAATTTCCACAACCCTTACCCTATATCCCCTTCCTTCTCTCACCCCTGGATAATATTCCTTTTTCTTCCCCCCTTTCAAAACTAGCCCGTTGTCCCTTGCAAGAGTTTCAGCGGAATGCGCAATGCTTTCACCTACCTAATTTAATATATATATGCCATATATATATTTTTACTATCAAGCTGTACTCAGCTGTGTACACATTGTGCATCCTTCGGTCTTTGGCTGCCAGGAGGTCAGCCATTTAACCCGTGGCAGCTAAAGTGTATATAGTTTTCAGGAGACGCATGGGCTTGCTGGGTTTTTTTTGGGTGGGGGGGGCCTGGGCTCGGATGATATTTTATTGTGGGAGGGGGAGCCTGCTTTACAGAATAAATTTAAAAAAATTGCTTGATGAAGGGGGAGGGGGCGGAGGAGTCTCAGGGGGGCTCCATTAACCATTCTGGATTCTCCTTCCACACATTCCATATACCTCACTCCCACACACCCCCTTTTATACCACCACCACTAAAAACATCTTCCTCCCTGCTCCTACACCACCTTCCCAATTCATACTGGCAGGACAAGGCATAAATCTCCCAATACCTGTACTGGAGAGAGGTTGTAAAATGAGATCCCTCCACCTGCCAATGGACTCCTCTTCAAATAGCAAATGTGAGTTCCTGTTCTGAGACCTAGTGTAACTTCCCCGGGATCTAGCCTACAAAATGCTGGTACCCTCCTCCTGGGATAGCTGACCGAGGTGTTATTGTTTGGGGTTGAGATGAGATTTCAGTTCCCGTTGTGGGTGATTTCTTTGCGTCTCTTCCTCAGGTAGTAAAGAGTTGATCTAATTTCTTTTCACTCCTTTTCTCTCCATGTTTCTCCGATTCCTCCCCCTTCCCTAACTGTGTCCTGGGATATGCGCTCTCTCATGTTTATCTTCCTCTCATTTTTTTTCTTCCTCTTTTTCCTCTGCTATACTCAATCCTTTCCTCTTCTTATATCCCTTTCCACTCTACCTATATGACATTTTTATTTCTCTGACATCGCGATGTTCACATCTTCCATTTGGTTATACTTTGTATATGAATTCATCATAATGATTCATTCAATACACCTCATCCATTCATTTTCCTTTACTTGCTATAATTTTGTTGGCTTGTTTCATATCTCCTTTTTCTTTATTGCTTTTCGCATTAACAATTCACTTTATTAATATTCTCTCTGGCACTCATTGTACGTACATGCCTCGTCACCATAATTAATTTCATCAATCTATTCCTCTTTTTCTTTCTAAGCTTCTTCTTTCTCTTTGCTGTGTGTTGACCTTGGTGACTCTTGGTCTTCCATTCCCTCTATTGCTCAATGTGTTTGACCTTCAACTTTTTCACCATGGTCCATTGTACAACCTCTACTTTTGCTGATTATGTCCCATCTCGTCATCTGCTCCATTAAACCATGTCTCATCTGCCTCCTTTCCATGGCTCTGTGGCTCCTCTCTCTCTGTTCCCAGGGGTCGCATGAAATACACAGACTTGTATGAGATGCTCAGACTTATCTCGCCTCCCTTGGGTCTGGGGAAGAAATGCCCTGCTCGAGTTGCTTATAAGGTAGATCCCTTCCCCTTCCATAACTATTATTCCTTTCCTAGTCCGTTCATGGGTCTCATATTTTTACCCTGAGCTAGAGGTAACTTAACACTACTGCTTTGTATACTTGTGATTTATCAGCAGAAGGGTTAAGCGATACCCCCCCAAAAAAAATTGTTAATGCCAGGACCCTCTTGTATCACTTGAAGCCTCTGAATAGAATTGTGTCTTTGATGTTATTTTTTGGTATTTTGACGTGGAGATGTGCTGTCAGTGCGTGTGTGTGTGTGCGTGTGCGCGTGTGTGTCTATGACTTGTTTTGTATGTTGGGTAACTATGAAAACTTTGTTCCTACTAATGGGAGAGGACCTTAGCTAACATGTAAACATTACCAAGCATACTCAGAAAAGGGAATGACTTGACACCTCTGTTGCTCTCTGAAATTGAAAATATATTCTACATATTCTCCCTTTTTGTAAAAGAGTTTATTAAAAAAAAAATATATTTAAAAAATATTATATGTGAAAAGAAGAGTTCAATTTCAGATCAGCATGTTTACATGTAATGGTACATGTACTTTAAGGGAGAGAGGTACTTTGAAGGCATCTGCATAAAGATTGTATGGTTTACAATGATGAAAGTATGACAGCCTGATCTGGAATAATCCGATGGTCATTTCCGTTACAAGCTGGGATGATTAGGAGGTCTTGGTGGATCAAATTGTTGGTTTGTTTTTACGACTTGGAATGATTTATAGGTAATATAGTAGTAGTAAATCTTTTGCCACAGGGTGGATTGTTCTGTAGGTTTTAGTGTTGCATGGCCAACAGTTCTCTTGGTAGGTGGTGGAATAAATAGAAGATCTCTTATGACTTGGAGGAATGATTTGCAGCTCTTATTACCTACTGGAATAACCAGTAGATCTCGTCCTACATGTTGGAAAAATTAGCGGATCCTTCATTACATGGCAGAGTGGTATCTAGCTTTTTTACTAAATGATGGCATGGATTCCAGGTTCCCGCTACCTGATGTAATACAGTATACATCTTTTATTACATGCCAGGATTATTAGTAGGCCCCTTGTTATATGGTGGAATGATTTATTCTGTGGCAAAATTAAGTATTAGCCAACATTAATATAGTTTATTGCCTCTAATTAGTTGGAAATAAGTTTGGTATGTCTCTATTGTATGTCTCTGTGTCTCTGGCACAATGGTTTATAGGTTTACTGTTGGTTGGGTGGTTAAAAATCCAGTAATATGGCAGGATGCTTTTGTGTGTCTAGTTGGGTGGTAGAGCGGTTTGTATATGCCTAGTTAAGATAGTATATAGGGAAATAAAATATATTACACTGTGTACAATAGAATGATATGATGGAAATCTAATTGATTTATATATAAGGAGTATGGAGGCAGAGATACAGTAAGATTTCTGATAGGGATATTGTCATCCTGAATCATATATAGATGAATCTATTACTTTTTTCTTTTCCTTCCTCCATCCTTTTACTCTTCTGTTTTGCCTTTGTGTATGCCCCTCTCTTATCTCTCCACACTTACTATGGTAAGTTCACAATGCATTGGAAGGATGATGCAGGCCTGATCTAACCCTTGTCCCTTCCTGCTTGAAAAATATCCTGTGCAAAAAGACCAAGGACATGATTTGCAAGCTACAACTTCATTAAAGCTGTACTTATCAGAATCTACTTGACAGAACATTTATACCTACACTCCGTACGATGATATGTCGATACCCTATACAGCTATTACATGATTTCTAAGTGTTCCCTCAGTCTCAAGCCATTATTGTGAAAGGTTACTCCACATAAAACCTTAGTTAAAGGTACACAGTGGAATGCTGAATACATCACATGCGATTTATATAACATTAGTGAGGTTGTGGCATGAGAATGGACTTTAGAAAGCCCTCAGAATGGGCTTGAGAAAGGACTACTTTGACTGAAATGTGTTCTGATGCATTTTTTTGCTTTTTTAGCTGACCCAGTAAAGTGCCATTTTTATAGACCATGAGTGCTGACTTTCTTCATTTGCTTTTTATAATAAGGAGTAAATAAACAGGTTTAGCAAAACTACGTTGAGGAGAGGGGCATAAACTACAACTTCTACTGGGAGATCTCAATTGTAGACTTGTAAACACCAATAGGAAATCACACAAATTTAATGCAAATCTGTTTTGGGTAAACTGAACCTTTTTTTCAAAGGTCTTCAGTATATTTTGAGGCTTCTATATTATTAGATACACTTTTTTTTATTTGGATTGTGTTGGGGTCTGAATATTTTTGCAGTCATAGAATAATCTAATTGGATGCATTGAAAATGTATTGGGTCATTTTGGATCAGCGTTCATTCAGCATATAGCATATACAATACAGTTTTGAACTTGTTTTCAGATGATGTCTAAGGGGCTGAAAATGGGACAATGACCCTTAAAAGAGAACTATGGGGTAAGTGTTTCCCCATAGTTCTCTTAAGGGTCACGGGAGGATATATACTAGCGTCCTCCCGTGACCCAAAGCTCAGTATATCTGAGATCGCCACAGCCGGGACGGATTCCGAAATTACGGTCGAGATCCACCCAGCTGGCTGATTGACAGCGGGCTCTGCCAATCCAGAGGCAGAACCAGCTATACCCACCCCCTCCTCCGTCCGTCCCTCCAGTCAGCGCTGGAGGATCGGAGCAGGGAGTGGGGAATCCCTGCAGGGAGACGTGACTGACAGTCACCACTCTCTGCAGGGAGATGATAGAGAAGTGAGTGAGCGAAGGTATGTGTTCGCTCACTTCCCGATCTATTGAGCCGACGTGTGACAGTTTCATTGTCACACGTCGGCTCGAACTATGAGGATGAGTGATTTTCACTCACCTCATAGTTCTCCTTTAAGGGCGTTCGCCCAGCTATATGCTGGCACTAGATAAAGCCAAGGAGCATAGAAAATTGTTTTGCTCCTCAGCTCCATCTACTGGCAGTAATGCCGTGTGAACGGGGTTCGTCCAGCTACATGCTGGGTGAATGCTTTATAAATCAGTGTCAATGTTTCATTTCCGGGCCTTTAGACATCATCTTAAAATAAAAGTTGATCAACTCTGCTCTATTGTTCTGTATAACATTATATGTATCTCATAACTGTATTTTATAGTTACATAGTTAGTCAGATTGAAAAAAGACACATGTCCATCGAGTTCAACCTATAGAGATAAGAAAAAGAAGAAGAAAAGCCTAATCAGAACACTATGCCCACAATTACCCCCTGTTGATCCAGTGGAAGGCAAAAAAACCCTATAAAGCATGGTTCAATTTGCTCCAACAGGAGAAAAAAATCCCTTCCTGATCCCATAAGGCAATCGGATATTCCCGGCATCAACAATCTCTGATGCTTATTTTAAACGCAGATATGGCCCTATAAATCTTCTGTATGTCTTACATTACTCCTCCTTTTTTGGCCTGTTCATCATTCAGTAACACATAGTATACATTTCCAATAAAAACAGGCACACATATTGAGAAAACCTATTTGACACTGAATTACCTTTACTCATAAAGCATTCATGGATTAATGATCAATATTACATTAATGCTTAGTGAATGGTTATCCCTTGCACACAGATTAGAACAGAGCACAATATGATACTCTATGTAAAGTGTAAGGAACGTCAATGCTATACTTACACTTCAGTAACTATATATATATATTATATCAGCAATTACAGTATAGGCCTGATACAGAACTCAACCTTTTTTTTTATTAAAGGAGAACTATGAGGTGAGTGAAAATCACCCATCCTCATAGTTCGAGCCGACGTGTGACAATGAAACTGTCACAGGTCGGCTCAATAGATCGGAAGTGAGAGAACACATACCGTCGCTCGCTCACTTCTCGATCATCTCCCTGCAGAGAGTGGTGACTGTCAGTCACGGCTCCCTGCAGGGATTCCCCCCTCCCTGCTCCGATCCTCCAGCGCTGACTGGAGGGAGGGACGGAGGAGGGTACAGCTGGCTCTGCCTCTAGATAGGCAGAGCCCACTGTCAATCAGCCAGCTGGGTGGATCTCGACCGTAATGTCAGTCACTGCTCCCCGCAGGGATTCCCCACACCCCCACTCCGATCCTCCAGCGCTGACTGGAGGAAGGGATGGGGAGGGGGCAGGTACAGTTGGCTCTGCCTCTAGATAGGCAGAGCCAGATGTCACTCACGCAGCTGGGTGGATCTCGACAGTAATATCGGCATCCGTCCCGGCTGCGGCGGCTCAGTATACTGCGAGCTGTAGCTCCCTATATACTAAGCTTTGGGTCACGGGAGGACACTAGTATATGTTCTCCCGTGACCCTTAAGAGAACTATGGGAATAAACACTTAGCCCATAGTTCTTTTTTAAGAACTTTGGGGCCTGTATAACAGCATTCCACTTAAAGTAACTTAGTTTAGCCTTATGTTAATGTTGACGCTTTGATGTAATCCAACCATTTCACATGATCCTAGTGTCAGCTGCCAAGTGTTACTCCAAGTTGTATTCGATTCTGGATATCATGTGCATATGTATGTTAGAAAAAGGAGGTTGTGGCATGCCGGACTTCGGGCTATGTAAGTATTCAAGGACAGTAAAGTGTTTGTTACTCTCTGGGACCCCACAGGAGCCTTGCTGTGGTCCTCAGGGTTACAGTGTTTGATCAAATAGAAGAAAGAGCGTGCTAAGCCATGGATGATTGTCCAGATGTAATTCTTTATTTGTCAGGCTAAAAGTTCTTTTTTTTTTAATTTAAAGAACAACAGCCAACACGTTTTAGGGGTTACATGGAGGTCCCTCTCAATCAGGGCTAAAAAAACAATATACAGACATTTTTACTAATGCTGAAGGAGCTATATGTTATTTTCATAAAAATATGCATATCATTTAAAATATATTGTTTATAATAATAAAAAATAAGAAATAATGAATAAACTTTTATTTGAATGATGCTCAAGCCCTAATGAAGGGGGGCCTCTTTGTAACCATCCAAAAGCATTGG